CAAAATGAAAAATTATGATTGGTTGAATGAGGTTTGCACGATTTGTACAAATTGAGTGGTTTGCATTTGACCGTTTCTCTCTCTCTCTCTCTCTCTCTCTATATATATATATATATATATATGTATGTATATATATAGGAGGGAGGGGAAGGGTTGGTGGTGACGGCAGCGATGAACGAAGAAGTGAGGGGCTCCTAGCTCGTTTGCCAAAACGGGGCTTCAACGAGCTTTTTTGTGGGTCAAGTGTTTATATACAAAAATTAATGTTAATTTACTTTGATTTTTTTAAAAAGAATATACGAAAAAGGGTTAAAATGGTCTAAAGTCCCTTCGTAAACGGCATAAGACTAACTTAACAACCTCTAGACTAATGGTGTTAAGTTGATGGAGGATTTTGAACTCTAAAACACGAAATAAAAACCACCACCATAATTAATAAGACCCAAAACACATAACCAAAGTTGCAATTCACTCTAGATACATGATCAACACAATCTTATAAAAGAGGGTGTTATAAATTATTTGCGTAGATGGGCTACATAATGGGCTTGGACATTATATGACTTAGATGGGATGTCCACTCCACGTCTCCACCTTCTTGTTTCAACTATCAAGACAATAAATACCTATATTTAAAATCATCATCAAATTACTGAGAGAGAAGATTAACAATTTTCCCCTATTTAATGGTAAGTTTTAGCTCACGTCATGTCATTTTGAGGCGTGTCATGGCATAAGGTGTGATTTTTCAAAAGGATATTTTCTTGTTAATTTTTATTAACTTTTGTGCTTTTAATTTTTTTAATTTTAAATTTTACACTTTTATAAATTTATCAAATTACATGACTCAGAGTTTCACGAATTTATACATGTCTCGGACTCACGATTAAACGAATTTTTAAAATTGCCCTTTTAAGTCCTGTTAGAATATTTAATCAAAAGCTATTTTTACAATTATAATGTATATGATTTTTCTTCTTCTGATATGAATATATATTTTTAATTAGTATCATTATCTGATTGAATAATATATAGAACACATATATGTATATATATAACTCTATATATGATATACAAATTTGTTGTCTTGTGTCACGTTTTTGAAAAATATTACATCCCCACAGTGACACGAAAAACTTGAGGCTTGACATGGTCATCGCACCAGACTTCATGCCATTATGAATGTTGCTCAAAACATCAATTAATATAAATTCTTACATTTAAAAGGTGTCCGCCTAAAACAACTCCCCTTGTTAAACAAAATTAGTAGATTATTTTGTGAAAATACGTGGGATCTTATATTACTTTCTAAAATAGCTCTTGAGGAGAGAATAAAAGTTTCAACATATAGAGGATAAATGATCTAATTTGTTTAACTTATGTGTAACTCTAACCAACTCTCTTCGATGGAGGCCAGACAGACACAAATTGTCCTACAACGTCGAAAGGGGGCTAGCGGAGTATTTATCAGAATGTCGAGTCCCTGTTGTGTTAAACATTTGCTCTGATACCATGTGAGAATATATGTAAACCCATTAGTTTACCCTCCAAAAGAGCCCTTGATAATAGAAAGAAGGTTGAAATGGTTCAAGTGCAGCCAATTCAGGAGAGTAGAAAGGTTCCAACATATATGGAGTAGTAATGGTTCAAATCTAGCTGATGTAAGACTCCAACACGACCCCTCCAATGGAGGCTAGATATTATAAAGCGTTCCAGAGTGTAGAGAGGGGGGCAAGATGGGTGGGGGACTAGACGAGTCAGATTGCTCAAAGCGTGAGTGCCTAGAGTGGTATGTAAAAATATGTGGAACCTTATTAATTTATTTTTCAAAAAAGTTCTTATAAAAATAAGGAGTTTCTAACCCTATAAAAATTTCTTCACTTTTATTATATTGCCAATGTATTACTTAATCCTAGAAGATTTATTTAACACTTTTAAAATGGTTATTGATTTAAAATATAATTAACTGAAAAACAAGTGTGGTGTCTGATTGGTTTGAGTTTGGCTCCAAAGGTCAAAATTACCTGGAAGTCTCAGGTTCAAATCCAATGAGGAATAAAAATCCCCTTGTGGCCATAGATGTTTAAATGCGCTGACTCCGGGCTATCTGCAATCATCGTAATCAATGGTTAAAATGGCCAGATTTTTGAAAAGTGTCTAAAAATATGATGCACAGCTTCACGTCGATGATAAATCTCGAGAGTCATTTACGCATTCAACATCGATAATTTCTTGTTTGAGATTATTCATCGATATATCATTATATGAAAATCGATCCAAGTGATATTTGAGGCCATATCATGTTCTGAGTGAAAGGTATAAGATATCACATCTGAATTACTAAAAGGAAGGCTCTGAAACACTAACACAATTGGGTTTGTAGGACACCAAAAATTATCCAAGCGTTCTAATATATTGTTTTATAAGGTATTAAGTTTATAGAACAAAACAATAAAACGTCATATCCACAAAGTGTTGTGTAAGTATATAAAACATTTTTGGGCGTCGTAACAAACTCTTTTACGACATTTTTATAGAAAGAGTATAGAATTAGCTATTTTATAGGACACTATTTGATAATGTGTTGTAATAACCGGTTATTCGATTATAAAGCTTGGGGTTGTTTTTGGAAAGTGGTGGAAAGTTGAGGGGGTTAAATTATTTAAATTTTTTAAAAATCCCATCGCCTTGCTATTTTTAATACTTATTACATGAGATAATCTTATTATCTCATTGGGATTGTGTGTCTTGATATAAAAAGGCAATTAAGTTTGTGTGTGTTTTTGGGAGCCGAGAAAAGGAACAAATACTTTTTGTATGTGTTCTTGAGGGCGTAAACGTGGAGCAAGGTTTAGATGGAATGTGACGGGGATTAGATGGAATGTGATGAGGGCGTAAACGTGGAGCAAGGTCGGGAACAAAGATGAATTCCTTGGCTATTACTCGCCCCATTTCTGTCCCTAGTCATTGGTCAACATACAATTGTTTGGTTGTGATAGAATCTGAAAACCATAAGATAAAATAAAACAGCAGAAGCAAACAAAACGAAATCACAACCCTCCAGAGATCTGGTAAGAAACAAAGAGGGTGATTAGAAATACCTTTAGATGGAAGTGAAAAATCCAATAGTACGTAGGATTTTCTCTATCGTGTTCACACCCCAAAGTTTCAATTGTTCGTAAACAGCAAGAAACCGCCTTTCTTTTATCATGTGAATCGCCAACACACACCACATTCTGATGAAAGGTTTTCGGCTACCCCTTAGAGTAGGCGCCGATTTTAGGTTTTGAGGGAGGAGAGAGCGGTCGTAAATGATTCTTAGCTAATTAGGTTTAGGAGATTAACTTTATATAAGGCTCGATCTCAAAACCCTAATCCTAATGGGCCACGACCCATTCTAAATAAAGCCCACAAAAGGTTTAGACTAATATCTAATTAGTCCCTATAGTAATTATTTAACACTTTAATTGATTACCCATTAATTCTTCAAATATTGTTTCTTGCTTTTACATTAATTGAACTTTGTGTGCAACCAATAGGATTGTGCTATTAACTATCTTATTGTGTATATAGGCACATCTCTGACAACGATGTCTTTATATTCGGATAATTAGCAGACATCAAACATAATTTGTGTAATAATAGAAAATAAGTAGAATGGTAAGTACCGATAAAATATTTGTAGGATTATAAAAAGAACATTTAAAATAATGATTTTTTAACTATATAATATTCGTATATTAAAAATCAAACTTACAGACGCTTCTCATTTTTGGTGATACTTTAACACCTTACCTTCAAATTACCATCTTCGGCACCTGATCTCGACATGATTGAGGGTCGAATTGTCAAATTTTCCAATTGGCTATGTTCTCATTTGCTCATACCTATTATCCGTACTTAGATTTTCTTATAATACTTTTAAATACCTTCTCATTGTAGAACTGTCTTTACTATTGTATTCGGCACATCGATTAACCATAGATGGGATTTTGACATTCCTTCACTAGAACCAAATTTAGCTATCGTTTTCACTATCACATTTCTTCCATATCGTGAGTGAGATGTCACTATATATCCATATATCAACTAATTCATCAGTTTATGTGTTGTTTATTAAACACTTACCGTTTCTTATCTAGCAAATAAACATCTATTGACTCGGTTTGGAAATGATGATCTTTACCAATAATCTATTGTATTATTTTGATAACTGAGAAATTTACATGGTAAGAAAGGATAGTGACTCTTATCCACCTAGCATTTAGGGTGCATTTGGTGTCCAGACATGATAGAACAAAACATGACATGGAAGAGCAAGTGTGAGCGTTTGATAAGTCAGAACTGAACAACACAGAACAAGTAAAATAACCAATTTACCCTTAATAAGTAATTTATATATTTTGATTGATTTATTAAATTATAATAAAATAGTTATTTTTATAACAAAATATATCATTAAAAAAGTTTTCGTCAAAACAATTAAAATGACACCAAAAAATAAAAAGTTTATGTAATTTTCAATTTTTATGTTATTCCTAATCAACATTATTTTATTATTATTAATATATAACAAATTATATAAATTAATAAAAATATATACGCCGTATAAAAATAATATTTTGAGGACAGTAAAAGGAAAATTCAAAAATTTTAGAGTACAATAAATAAATTTTAAAAGTAAATACAATGTAAAAAATAGACTTATTTGATGTTTTAGAAAAGAATTAAGTTTTATTTTGATGTCATATTGATAAAATATAAGTCTGTTCCACCCTGTTCCATGGGGGTGGGGGGAACAACCCTGTTTCACTATGTTTTTGTCTGTTCCACATAAAAGTCCTACTAAACGTGAAACAGGATCTCTGTTTTGTTCTATCATATCTTGTCCAATGTACCAAACGTACAATTACGAATAAAAGATTATTATAACATGTTATTTTGAGGACCTAAAATCTTATCCGACAAAATAAGTAAAGATGATCACTCTTGAACGATTTGTTTAACTTCCCAAAAAGGACAGTTTTGTATTTGAAATGTTTCAAAGTAAAACATGTATACATTTTGAAGTGAAATTAAATCAAAGATTAACACCAATGAAACTATGCAAATTAATTACATAATCCCCCCTAAAGAATGAAATGAAGAAAAAAAAACTAAAGTTTCTTGAATATAATTTACCCCGGCAACACAACTCCGACCGTTGTTGTCGAACTCGCATTCGTGGTCGAGTATGTTGCGGTTGCGTTGCAGTATAATCCGGCCGCCCATCTTCGAAGAATCCTCAATAGCGTTGCCGCCTTTCTTCGCCCTCGTCCTGTGCCCATCCCCATCACTTCCCAAATCACTCGCTCGATGCCAGGGATGGCCGCCAGCTCGGTGACGATCTCTAAACCACCTTTCCTACACACATTTACGAGTGTCGCGGCGGCACTCTCTTGCGCCCTCTCCGTCCCATCCCTCAGTATCGTTGCCAATTTCGTAATCAGATGAAATGTTGCGGTGATTGCAACTAATCCGCCTTTCTTCACCACCGCTTCGAGAACAGTGACACCTTCTTCTGGTAACCCGTCCATTACTTCGCTAGCCATCTCCACTACTCCGACCTCGATCAACTTCCCGACAGTTTCCCTATCTCCGGCCAAATTAAGAATAGCCACCAACGCATCTCGTTTGGAACTAACAGGCCCAGTTCTAGCCAACTCCATCAAACCCTTGATCACACGAGTCTTTCGACCGAGCTTCTTCCGATACGTGTGGACACCTGTAAGACTAAATATCGTTGCGGCCGCATTTCCTTTCGCCTCCCAACTAACACCCGTTCGTAACACCTCAATGATACTGTTTAAAACACTGTCTGTTTCCATTATCCGCGTCTTGTTTGCTTCGAGTATCGACAGGTTTAGGATCGTTGTAATGGCGTTAACTTGAAGGTTCGGGTGGTCCGAGCCTAAGAATTTGACCAATAACGGAAGTCCACCGGCTTCTGCAATACAAGCCCGACTGTTTGAATCGGTCTTGGCTAATGCACGAAGCTCGTGGACAAAGTAATTCGCCTTTTCTGAAGATTGCGATGCTCGAGCCTTCTCGAGCAAAAACGATACCGTCATCTTTGTTGCTTCAAATAACGTCTTGTTTGTAGTAACGTCGTTAACTTTCTCCTTTATCTCCGTTGATTCGAATGGAATCCGGTGCTCGCGGCACCACATTACGATCAAGTTCCGCAATGCACGATTGGGTATCATTTCGGTGTGGAGAAGGGTCTGACCTGTTTTTGGACACGTGGTGTGTCCTGATTCGATCCAGAGATTGATAGATGCCCGATCGTAGGTTTGACCGGTGCATATAACCACCGGGTCCCGTACCAAGTCAAGGGAAATTGGACACCGGAAATCTGCCGGTATTGTTAAGTCCGTCGAGTTTGACTTATTCCGGCACCGGATTATTCTTGGCGATGATTCACCGTACAACACGCACTTTGCGTAGCGTACAAGTCCAATCAACGAGACGATTTCAGCCTTTGATTTCTGGTCACTTTGATTCTTAACTTCTTCTTCCAAAATCTCGATTTCGTCGGTGCAACTTGTGGAATCGTTCAATTGCAGTCTCGTGAAGATCTCCTTGAGTTTTGATTGTTGAGGAACAATCTCGCTCTTGATTCTATCCAATTTCTCCAAAACATCATTTCTGAGGATAATATCGTGTTCGGCGATCGAAGCCACCGATTTGGAGCACTGTTTACGGATCAGATTCACCAGTTCTTCAATATCTTCGCTGAGATTCATCTCTTTAATTGGAAATATATCAATTAGGGTTGATAACTCCAGTGTGAGTTCATGAAACTTGTGCGCGACAGATTGTTGTTGAATCAAAAGCCAAAATTTGCTTCCGTTACAGCAATCTTCAATCAACGTCTTGATGCTCTGCAAAACGATGTACAATTCCTCAAAGCACAAAACCGCCGATGCCGGAAAACACGGTACAACGTGATCGACAACCAAATCTTCAAGCAGCAACGTCAAAAGCTTAGTTTTCCGAATAATCGAAATCGAATTCCGATACAAAACAAAAGGAATCGGTTTCAGAGACGAAGTTTCTTTTGATCTAAGCAACAGTGTTCGGATAAGCCTTTCATCTGATTCCATCGACGGCGTCGCAATTAATCCCGCCGTTGGCCGCTTCTTTTTTGGCGGCAAGGTTTCCTGTGAAACCGCCATAGACAGCTACAGAAAAATGTAATTAACAATAACAACAACAGAAAAAAAGCAAAATAAATGCGGTTTTGAAGCAAATTACAGATCGAAACCTTGATTTTCGACGAAATCAAAGCGTTCTGGTGATCGAATCTCGGAATTTAATTGGAAAAAGACTCTTGAAAAATTATTGTGGTGGTGGTTGATGATAGCTGTGATGCTTTTTTGCCAACTTCAAAATTTCATTTATTCTTTGATAAACATTATATTATGGGGTCATATCTCAGCTGGAAGATGGGTGTTTGACGGAGTAATTTATTGCATATTATTTATTAATTTGAAAGAAAGGAAGGAGGTGGTTGAGAAGTTGAATTCCAACAATTAGAAAAATGGGGGTGGGTACACCAAACAAGACAAACAAGAAATATGGGTGGCCCGCGGCGGTGCCGGTGATCATGGTGGTGGTGGGGGGTTTCGACAGCCGTCAGCCGCCGGCACTGAATAAGTATTCATGACTTTCTTTTTTTCCTTTTGTTTATATCCACTTGTTTTGCTGTTTTTTTGTATTTGAAGTTTGACCAAGTTTTGGATAACCACCAATTGACGTGATTTTGTTTTTCATTCTACTTAAAATTTAAGATTACAACTACTTGTGTAAATGTAATTTATTAAAATTTTATTTTTAAATTAGTATAATTAATTATAGATAAATATAAAATAAATATCTATTTTAAATATAAAAAATAAAAAATATAATATAATCATCGAGTTTTAACATAAATATTATCTTTATAAAAAATTTATTGTTAAGTCAAAAATAAATTACTTAACTATTTGATCTAAATTAAATTATAATAAACAATTAAATTAAAAAAATTGTAAAAAAAGGAGAATTTTTAAATAACTAATTTGATATTAATATCGATATATTTTTTTAAATTTTTATGAAATCTTCAAATTTATTTTTATTCAAAAGTAAAAACATTATCTTTCTCAAAACCACATAAATTGTATTGTATCAACAAAGACAAAAAATAAAACGAAACATTAAAATAAAAATGTATCTCGTTACATTGTACGAGTACTCCTCTAACGATTCCATAAAGGTTGCATTTGATTTGACCTAAGTTGTGGTTGCATTTTTAACATTTGAGAATTTAAATAGAAAATGTTGGCAGAGTAGTTAATAAAATGTTGTACTTAATTTTTAGATACGAATGATTAAAAATTAATTCAAGTCGTATTCTATAGTCGTTTGTTTTATGTTTGAAATGATAATACCTTTGAATTCGAGGTTCAAAAAGGTTAATCAGTACTAATTTATTAATAGTAAATTTTGAATCTGGTTTATGATGATTGTCATTCAACGAAACATCGTTTTGATCTTCATTTATTACAAGTTTGGCTACGTATACAAAATCCAAGGGTTTTAGCCCTTCCTACTAATGGTTGCTAAAGTTTTTCTGTTAACTTCTTTTAAATAAGGGGTATTTTGATCATTTTACTCATTTTCTAAATTTTATATTAAAAATATAATTTATGATATATATATATATATATATATAATATTATAAAATGTAAAACAAACCTAATCCTTTTTGCCTCTTTCACCTAATCGTTTTTCTTTCTGCACCATCTAGCCAGCCCTCATCTGACCGTCCCTAAACTACCCGCCGATCACTAGCCACGACCACAAACACCACCATACCTGGACTTCATTGTCAAGCAACAACTTCTCCCAACTGTGTCTGGTTTCTTTCTCTCTTCTCGTTGTCAACCACCCTCGTTTCTTTCCACCAATGCGATATTCCTCTGCTCGCAACACCCAAAAAAAACATATACCATTAATCAAGCACCAACGTCTTAGTAATCTTGCATCATCCACCAAGTTACGGTCGACACTCTGGCAACGATTTTGACAATATCTTGTTCTAGAAGAGATATAGAACACTATTGCTTATGTGACCATCGATTAGGTTTGGTTTCTCTTTTTTAAGGGTTTTTTTCTATTTGGAACTGACTTGTGTTTTTCTTTATGATTTGTGTATCTTCTCGATGTTCATGTAATTCTTCTTGAGATTAAAGATGCATATGTAAACTCACATTTTCTTTTACCAATGATTCACATATACTCATTTATTTTTAATATTTGTTAACCTATTTATCTTTCTCAGATGGACCTCCACGCATATCATATATACTACAATGGTGCTCGCGCAATGTAGCGAGATACATCTTGATTTTATCGTTTCGTTTTATATTTTGGGTCTATCGGTGTTATAATGCGACTTTATGTGGATTTGAGAAAAAAAATGTTTTTATTTTTTAATGTAATATAAATTTAAAGATATTATAAAATTTTGAAAAAAATAAATAATATTAGTATCAAATTAACTATTTAAAAGTTCTAGTTTTTGTGTAATTTCTTTAATTCAATTTTTAACTAAAGTTTAAAAATGAACTAATTTATTTTTGGTTTAAAAAAATAATTTATAAGTATTCTGTTAGAACTTAATGATTATCTTAAGTTCTTAACTATGTTTTGGATTTTTTATATTAAATGAGATGTTTATCCTCTATTTGATTATATTTATCCGCAGTTAGTTACACGAATTCAAACATTGAGTTTTAATAAGTTGTACTTATACATAATTACTTGTAATCTTGAATTTTAAGTAATATGCATCAATATACAGTACTTTATGCATAAAAATGGTTTTTAAGAGTTTTTGTCAGATGCTTTATAATATAGTATAGATATAGATCTATACTATCTTATAAATCAGATCTATTAAAATTCTTAAAAACAATTTTTAATGCACAAAGTACTATACATTTATACACAAAATCTTAAAAGTCTTAAAAACAACTTATAATGCACTAAGTACTACCATTTTATGCATTTACTTTTAAAATCTCTTAATCTATAATTAAAGTAACATATGGTACAAGTTCCCAATACAAACTATTGTCTTTTCTTTTCATGTTTTCAAGATACTTTTCAGACCTTACCTCTCATACCCCCAAGGTGACGATTCAAACTGATATTCACCATGAGTTTTAAAAGTTATTTTATTCAATTGCTTAGGATCTCTCGGTCTCGCTCTGCATTTCTTGATTCTTCGCTCTTGGTGTAAATCGAACACTAATCAATGGGTTTGGTGTAAATCGAACACCAAAAATATACCATTTTCTCAATCTTTGGCTTTCTCCGAGTAAGATGTTTCTATATTTTTGCTTAGTTTCTATAAATTGTTGTGATTTGAAGCAAATCAATGGGTTTGGTGCTATAACAACAAGGTAAGTTGAATAGTGGATTTACCCCCAAGGCCCTATCTCCTCTTGGTGGGATATATCGGTTTTGTAAATGTATGGTTATTGTTCTTGATTTTATTGATTGTTGTTTGTTGAAATCAAAATAAACAGATCTTCTTGTGTTTCTATTAAGTTTTTGATGGAATCGCCATCTTCTTCAAAACCCTAGATATTTCTCAGAGGTATTCTATTGATTTTAATTTAGATTAGATTTAGATTTAGATTTCATTTCGATTTAGATTTAGATTTTCATTTTAATCATAACGTGTTTCTCCATTGATTTTAGATTTTGAGTTCGGTCTTGTGTTCCTTCCTGCTTTATTAGAGTGGTTGAAAGTGGTGACTGTATATCTCCAATATAGACTCCCATTCAACCAAGTAAGCAAATTGTTATTTTGAAATTCTTAACTAAATGGTTGTTTACACTCCCTCATTCCCATCAGATCATTATTTTGACTTCATATATAGTTCGAGGAGTGCAATTGGAAAATCCCAAAAAAGACCGTTTTAACCTGGAAAATATAGACTGTTTGACCTGCTTTCGTTAGAACCATTTACTCTGATCTAAAAAATATAGATTCTTTTGACTTGTTTTCCTCGAGATTTAATTTTGTTAATTCTCCATGAATTTGCTTTGAATAACAGTTTTTGGGTTTTAATTGAAGTTGAGCAGATTTCTTATGATTTCACATGTATCACAAGCACAAGCAAAGATGTATATATATATATGTAGTATAGTGTTGTTTGCCCAGATGATTATAAGAAACAATGAAATAACAATTACACAATGCAAATAGTAAATCAATTGGCCTTTATTGATTCAAATGTGGAATACAAAATACTAGTTTTGCCTTGGGTGGCGCTCTCAATATTAAGCTGATAATTACAATGAAGAGACCTACTCTGGAGAATAGGGTAGCTATATCTAAACCTTGACGATATTTATATTTTTAGCCCTTCTACTTTATTACAAACAAAATATAAAACCTAACGTTCTCCCTTTTTTGTAATAAAGCCGCTTCAGATAAATCTTCATCTTCTTTCGGTGGCCATAATATACCTCGAATCTGCGCATAATCCTTCAGTACTCCAGCTTCTTATCAATCAGGTTCAAAGCATTCAGCATCAGGTTCTTATCATGCGGGTTGAGCTTGTCAAGTCCTTTTCTTTCTAGCTACATCTTGCTTGACAACTTCAGTTTGATGAGCTTTATGGTTTCGTCAGAGTAGGCTGGTAGCTCGCTGAATTACATGGACTTTTTTTCTCTGATGCTGTTGGAGTACACAATGCCAAACTTGGGCTGCTCTACTAACAGAAACAAGGGCAGGGACTCTATGTCTTCCAGACTTTGGTTCGGCTTCAACAGGTTTATCTTTGGTTGATTTCTTTCGATGCCCATTTGTAAGTCCGACACATACCCAAGCATTATCTAACGAAGCATGAAGCACTTGATAGCTTATAGAGCTATCTGCACGTCTTCTGGTCAGTCCACTGACGAATGTCCAGGTACATGGTCATGAAGTCTTCAAATGATAAATGCTTGAAGTCAGCTTCTGAGAACTTCCATTCCTTGCTGTTAGTTCTGAGAACTGTGAAGAGTGGAAAACGGATGTTCACAAGTCTATAAGTGTAGATGTTCTTTATCCTAAAATCTTGTGCCTTGACTTAACCATCTCGACTTCGCCTTTAGCATGCGCATATACTTGATGACATGTATGCCATTAAGGTGAGTGATCTGGAGAACTCGAACCGGATCCAATTCCATAATTATTCTAACAAAGACTTTGATCTCGGTATCTTCAATGAACAGAACCCTGATTCTTATTCTCTCCCACCTTTATACATGTGTTGTAGTTGGAGTTCTCGGGCCTGCAGTTCTCTGACTTGTTGGAGGTTGGGGAATCGACCGATCTCTTTGAGGTGAATCTGGTAATGCATCGTTAAGATCGTTGATGTGGTTGAAGTCCCCTTCTTCGAGTA